GTGGACAAGGTTCTTTGACCCACAACATCGTTAATGATACCTCATTTAATTACAGCAATTGCTCTAAACGGCCAGTTGTATGCGGATTATGCGAGACGCTCTCGTTGACTCCATTCATGTAATCGTTTAAAAATACCCGCTAATCATCATAAGCACTGCCCTAAAATTTTGATTATTGTGATTATCTAGTGAATCAGTGAGGTGTTTAAAGCCCTTTAAGGCGGTGGGCACTTATAAAGATTATTTATAAGTGGTTGTAAGTGGTGAGTTAATATTCTTAGTTCGTAAACCATCTATTCATTTATACATATGTTAAATAAATATATACTAATATTAACTCTTGTTTTGCAGTCTACTAGTAATTAAGTATACTAGTTATTAATACTAAGTTCGAGTGATTGTTATTATGTTATTTCGAATAATATTTTACAAATTTGCAATAATTGCACTAATGCGTTATACTCTTATACTTATACGTTATACTATACTTTACATAACATATCCTATCTGCTGTATTCCTCTGCAAATGAATGGTAGAGTTTATGTATTTGTTTATGTATTATATAATCCTTATAGTTAGTATTTACTTGTATTTATATAAGTAGGTATTGCTGGGACTGACTGCTGTATACAATTGACACTACTTTGTTTTGTAATTGTCAAAGGAATGCTGTTGTGCTGTATAAATATTATTCTTTTTGTTTTTAGTTTCCTTTACACTTTTTCTCACCAAATCTGCCCATGAAATTACCTATTTACAGTCTATTTGTCCATCCAAAGGTTGCCTGTAAGATATTGCTTTTTAGCGATAAGGCCGCCATTTGTACATGGTCATTAACCTTGAATACTATTGTATGTATAATATCCTGAATTGGTGTACAATAAAGATTATTCTATTCTATTCTATTCTATTCTATTCTATTCTATTCTATTCTATTCTACTCTTGTTTTTTAAGACTATTTTGGCAGAATATGTATCAAACACCACTAAGATTCATACACTAATTTAAAAATATGTTTCAAGGAGCTTAAAGACTTACTTGAAGATATTTTATAGACTGAAACATACACACAGCCTTAACCATCGATTCATACCGGTTAACACCTTCTCTCCAAAAATCCGTCAATTATATCACCTCATTACGAAACAACCACACATTGGTACAAAATAAAAGAAGTGTTCGTAGAAAGTGCCCCCTATTGTTCTTACTCCTATGGTAAGATTAAATACGATGATTCGAACTTTTGTCCGCAATTTAATAAGTGCCCCGCGGTGTGATAGATTAATTGTGATTTACTATAAAGGTGTATTCACACTAATGTCTAGACACCGACAAGGTCTTGGTAGCCGTTCATTGATCTCTATTTCTAAATTAAAATGTTGGAAACAATGTAAACCGTTAGGTCATTTGTTTGTGGGAAATAAAGATCAACCATAATGTTTGTGTTTCACCATTTAGATTTTTCTTCTAGTCTGATAGCATGAGCGTAATCTAAGTTTGTTTTATCCAGTTTATTAAAGTTAAATCGTGTCTGTATCTAAGTATAAATTATATGGTTCATTTAGTTAGTTATAAAATAATAAATAAAGCCATCAGTCGACTATTAAAGGCTGTTGATGTGATTCCGTGTGGTGATGGGTTAAGAATACAGAGGGATACCACCTTTATTCATCCCGTGCGTGTCGTAAGAGCCGACTAAGGGAGCAACCCGTCCGCCCGGCCAGTACGGTATAGTAGGCCAAAACCTTCTTTCTAAGGAGTGGGATATATCCAGCAGTGGACTAGTAAAGGCTGTTGATGATGCAGGAGTATTTAAAAACTTAGACCTAATTACCTGTGATATTGATATAAAATTTAAATGCGGGATATAGGTATATTAGTCAAAATTGAAAATAGAGATCTAAAGTCCTACTTTAAAAGGTTTTTCGAATCAATGTTCGATAGACGGCTTAAAAAACTGAATGTCTGCTACAGTAAAGTGTGGACCTGGCCTAAAGTTATTGTGACTTCGACAGGTAATCAAAAGAGAGTCTTAATCACTAATCCCACGTTATTTAACAACGTGTTTTGTTATGAGTTTAATTTGGATTCAATTGATTGTGTAATTTTCTTCAATTGTGTTATGTAAGGGGATTATGTAAGTAATTCTGTATTGTTTCAGTCCATGCATGTATTGGATTGTAAGGTTCAGTTAAAGTGAATTTTTAGCCTTCTCATTTTATAACTTTCGTAGCTCACCTAAATTATCCAGCAGATCTAGATGAGCATTTGGCAACCGACTGCATGCCCAGGGTGCGGGGGTCGGTGTCTTACCATATAAAAAAAAACACACCTTGCCTTGGATTTACATCAGAGAATGCTCTACGTGCGTCGCATATTCGAGGCATATTTATAGGAGAGATTCATATATATCCTTTCTGGAAACCCCCTAGGGCCGTCACCCCACCGGGGTTTACGGCGGGGTGGTGTGTCGGAGTCGTACCGAGTAAAACCACACGGTGTGCCACTCTGCGACTGTAATAAGAGGGATCTGGGAACTGTTATTACTAAGACATCCGGAGATTCATATATACCCGAACCAGGCCCATACCAGTTGAATTTCATTATATATTCCAGATATGTTGTGAGGTGTTCCACAGGACTTGATATTAGGAACAATTACCTTAGTAACTTATTTTGAAATTCGATGCTGTGACAGCGCTGTAGCGTCGAAATTCAAAAGAACTTAGTTTGAAGTTCGACGCTGTGGCAGCGCTCTACGCAAGGCTGTTTCCTTGGAGAATAGCACTGCTGAATTTATAACACACTAGCTATATCCTGCCATGTTTCGCTGTGGCATATTAAAATTGCATCCATGAGAAATGAGTAACAAAATAGATAAAACCAACCTTAAGGTGGTTTGTTCATCGTGTCAAAATTTGAGCTCAATCCGTGCAGAACTATTTGAGCATACACAAACCAACTTAACATTTTATATATATTTATATTATATAATACATATATATATATAAGATTTGCGGTTGGCGGTGATGGCGAAGATTGGCGGTGTTGCTTTTATTGTCAATAAACATGGTTCCTAAATATATGTAATATCTGTCATGTTATGTACTAATCTGCCTCTGCAATTTAGATTTAAATAAACTTATTACTTCACATTTCGGAATAATTTCATGTACAAATTACTTGTTCATGCAAATTTTAATACAAATGTTTCTATTTTCTCTCTATCATATGTCTTATGTAAACATCGAATGTAATAACAACGTCTTGGCTTCCAAATTTTGCAATTACGACAATTGCAAATGATTTATTTCGTATACAAGACTTAGTTTTCATCATTATCAACATCAACTACTGACTAATATTTTAAATGCCATGTATACAAAAATTCTTGCAATGTAATGCGAGTGTGTAAGGTTATAAAGATATAATCATTAGAATAATCATAAGATTAAGAAGAAAGAGCCTTACACAGTCACAATTACTTCTATAGTTTTAGTTCTCATAATCCATCTTTAAATTGATACAACGCGTAACAGTTTCATAAGCCTACACTATACAATAACATCCGTATCGTCAGTGTTTCAACGATTATATCGATCATAAATCGATCCACGGCTGATTGATCGGCTTTCTTCGCGGAAATCCGGTACGCGCCTGCATTGATACGATGTTTGTATCAATTCGTTAGCAATGCCCATTCTTGAAAAGCGTTTATCACTGTGTCAATTACATCGATAGCACGGGGATGATTTATGTGATTTTCTTGCCATATGATGAGCCAGTTAGTAGTTCCTTATCGTATTTTACAAAATAGTTAATGAGATCTGTATCATTTAAATTTAAACTGACCGGTATGAGTACGCTGCAGTACATTTCATAAGTATATGTACCTTTTCATGGTTATATTTTAAAATAAAAAGTCAAAGTTGTAAAGGCATGCCCTATGTTTCAAAAACGATGAAATGGAGGAATCCATGGAGTCATTACCCAAACATCCATTTTATTAAGGAAATATTCCACTTTATTTAAATCTAGATGAATTTCGTTTCTAACTCCTTGTTGTTTTTGAGTCCTTTTTACAAGTAAGCAACTTAACTTTGCATATGCTACATAATAAAATTACTACTTAAAAGGTAAAAATATATTGCTATGACGACCACTAGGATAGAATCGCAGTCAAAAGCTGGCTATAGAAAGGTATTACAAATCCATTTGCAAGTTATTAGTACTTTATAGTAAGGAGTATCAAAACAAGTTAAGGTATTTGAATTACAGATACATGTATGCTTACTGCCTATTCAGGCAATTTAAATTGCTCTTCCTTCTCGCTCTTATATCTCCCGATTTTTTAAATGCATTCCGATTTAAAACCTAATAAGGAAAAAATTGAAATCCAAATTGCAAGGTGATCATGTTTTTACAAATTGTGTTCATAGTTAAAGCGTGGACCGCATTTTTATGCTAAAGTTTTACTAAGTTACCAGGTATGGTAGGCAATATTTGGTAGGTCTACCTTATTCGTTGGTTTCTTACACACGTATGTGCATTTAGAACCGAAGGTGTCTTCTACTAAGGCTTAATATGCTAAAAATACTTTGAATAGTAATAAAGTTAGTTAAAACCTTTACTTCAGAATGAGGTTTGTGTTGAAATGTTTTATTTTTTTCTTTTCTTACGTGTGTGAGATTTTCATGGCCTCGGTAACTAATTTTTTTTTAAGATTGAGGGGCGACGAGCAGAGGGGTCAAATTGAATGAAATTTCTTTATAAATAAATTTCACGGCTCATCATATTAAGATGATGACGACAATTAGTGAATTTATTGATTTATTTTTATCATTATAACGCTAGTACCATTTCTATCAACTTATAGAAATCAAACGTATTAGCGTAATAGTTCAACCCTCAAACCGACTTCGACTTCGGTACTGAATTACTTTACTGAGTATAGGAATATTCCGGTTGTCACTTCTCACCATTTTTTTACGCTTACAGGAGGAATTGGACCTAACAGCGGTAAATAAAGCAGCAATGATGGCCCTACCAGCTGCAAAAAAATGGCAAATTTATTGCAGCAGGAGGCCGCCTCCAGGACAACCTCCACCCCTTGCCACCGCACCTGAGTTAGAGGAATACATTAAAGCGCTCAACGAAATTGCTGACGTAAGTGATAAGTTTTAATAAAATGATCATTAAATTCCTGACTAGTATGCTTTAAATTTTTATTTAATTTATTTATTTGGTGTACCAAGAGCATAAATACACTACATTGTTAAATTCCATAAAATATAATACCTGGTATGCATGCCCAATACAGGTACACACAACATTCAACATAATAGATAACACCTGACATTACAATATTACGACTAAAACAATACAAAAACTAAATAAACCTAATGTTAATTAAATTTAGATTGCGTACTGACAATACGAGTATTTCGAGTGGTCTTCAGCCTTCTACTTGTCTTTGTAGATATTTTTGGATATATAGATTTTATTATTATTATTTACATTTTGCTAACGTATTGATTCAAATATTAATGCTATAAATTATACATATATATTGGTTGAAAATGTATTATAATGATTGGACCGAAACCATGACATACGTTACATTATCATTATCAACTTTTGATAACATTTTAATGAAATTTACAGGCATTCGCATCTTCGGAAGGTACACCACCAGCAGAAGCATGCGTTCTCGTCGATGGACTTAAAACGGCTTTACGAACTCGAGCTCATAGTTTCGTACTCCGGTTCATTAAGCAAGGAGGCTTAGGTTCCTTGTTAGACGCCTTGCAAAAAGCACCGAGAGACGATGCCCTCACAAGGCATAACCTCATAGCTGCGATAAAGGCGTTGATGAACAACTCGGTAAGCTAAAATTGTTTTTAAATATTGTCAGTTTACATGGTTTTGGGTGGTAACAAGCCTTATTTGTATTAGTAGATTAGAACACCCTCTGAAATAATTTCTTTTGTGTCATGTTCAAATAGTGTTCATACTGGATATGGTGTCGGTTGTCTCTTGTAGTGTTCATCGTAAAGCGAAGCTTATAGGGACAACAAAAGTCCAAATTAAAGAATATGGTACTAGACATTTCCGTTTCAAGAAACATTGACTTTAAAAATATATTCACGTGTTTTGTAATGTCATTCTATGTTCCACTCTTTATTCAAATTGGCCTCAGTAAATGTAGTATTTGATCTTTCGCCTTCTTTGGCACATGTTACATATTCTGGTTATTCCAGACGGGGCGAGCGCACGTTCTTGCACACCCTACGAGCATCGATTTAATCGCACAGTCTCTAGATACGGAAAATGTTAAGACTAAAGTCGCTGCACTGGAAATATTGGGTGCTGTATGTCTTGTACCAGGAGGACATAAGAAGGTAAGTGTTACTATTTTTGCCTTTACTTAAGTAAGAAGTATTCTGGGGTTTGGTTCCGTACTTTCAGAGTAGTTTTCAAAAAATGTGAGTTAAAACCGTATTGCAAACCTAGGGAAGGACCAAGGTTTTGCAGGAGGTCAAAACAGCAGTTTGACTAAATTTAAAATTAGCGATTGCAGTACTTTCTCTAAATGTTTTCACTTTTTTCTTGTTTTCATGTACTATTTTTTTTTCTGATTTACGTAGGTGCTAGAAGCGATGGTGCATTTCCAAAAGTATTCTGGCGAAAGGACCCGTTTTCAAGGAATTGTGAACGAGCTAGATAGATCAACGGGTGCTTATCGTGACGATCTGGGGTTGAAAACGGCTATTATGTCTTTCGTCAATGCCGTCTTGAATTACGGGCCTGGTGAAGAGAGCCTGGAGTTCAGGCTGCATTTACGATACGAATTTCTCATGCTGGGGATTCAGCCAGGTGAGTTCTAGGAAATACTTCAAGCAAAGTAGCAATAAGTTAAAATTTGGACATGTTCCTGTGCGTTGAAATCAAAATTGACTTTATTGAAAATCTTCAAATTATCCTTCAACTAAGAAATGACTAGACCATTCTATTCACTACTTTTTTGCCTTATTAACTAAAATAGCAATAAGTTGAAATTTGGACATGATCCTGTACCATGAAAGAAAACTGGCTTCATTTTAAATCTTCAAATTTTCCTTTAACTAAGAAATGAAGAAACCATTCCAATCACTTCATTTTTTTTCGTGAACTTATGATTTCGACTTTATTTTACTATTAATAGACTACTCTTTCTTCTTTTAGTGATTGAAAAGCTACGTAAATACGAAAACGAAACCCTGGATCGTCACATCGAGTTCTTCGAAATGGTTCGGAACGAAGATGAAAGGGAATTGGCCAGGAGGTTCGACAAAGAACATGTCGATACCAAGAGTGCTACTTCAATGTTCGAGCTGCTGAGACGCAAGCTCAGCCACACAGCTGCTTATCCTCACTTACTCTCTATGCTGGAACACTTTTTACTTTTACCATGTAAGTAAAATGGCCATAACGGCCTATGGGCAATAACATGCGGCGGTTTGAAGGTTAAATTAGAACTGATATTTTTTAGTCTAGGAACGAAAAGATTCTACATATAACTTGTTTCACACTGCTGGGAAACTCGTTACATTTGAATTTAAAACTAATTACTATTTCGATATTGCAATTTCATTTTCATTCACTTATCTTTCATCTAGTATTGGCATTATCATTTTATTTCAATTATTTCTTTTGGTGGATAACTTCGAAATTTGTGCAATATATGAGAGTTTTAAGCCATCAAGAACGAGGTGTTTTTTTTTTAAATATAATTTAAGTTAACAATTTTTTACCACCACCAAATTGTGATTGTATAAAAAAAACCAGAGGTAACATTGTAAATAAATAATATTGAAGGCAACTTCCAGCGGTATTTAAGATGTTTGTGTGTGTAATGTTCCAGTGGAGTACAACCCGCAGTCGCAGCACTGGCTGCTGCTGGACCGTGTGGTGCAGCAGCTCGTGCTGCAGCAGCCCGTGGCGCCGAGCCGCGCCGCCAGTAACCTCACCACCACTGACTCCGACTCGCCCGCCACCACTGAACAGGAACATCCCAAGGTACTCCTTCAACTACGATAAATCGTTTTTCTTTGCAAAAAAAGTTTCTCAGTTAAAGTACCTTCAATACGATAACTCAATATTATATTCTTTTAATTTAAAGGTGTACGACCCAGACGTGTCTCCACTCGAGATTAACGTAGGCGAGATAGTCCACTTACTAGCGAAGGAAGAAGAACTGGTAGCCGCCAGAACCAAAGCAGACAACTTGGAGAGGGAGAACGTCGATTTGGCCACTGAACTGGCCAAGAAGGTAACGTATTTTACGATCGTGCCTACAATAAAATAAACATTAATTATGTTGTCTAAGAAATGATATGGCTTCATCCTATAAAAGACGATATCAGACAATAAAAAAAAAGATATTTTGACTGAGTCTATAACAGAAAAGTTTCTTGTTATTATTGTTATTAGAGCATTGATTGACCACTAAGCTAGTCTTCATTAGATATGAAATATTAAGCACATATAACAGCCATTTTATTTTATTTGCTGTTTATCGAAAGTTTTGTTTATCATTGAAAAAAAAGCACAACTTTCTGTTTGTATTCTTACTTTTTCTATGTAACCTATAGATTGAATGAGAGTTTGTTCTATATTTGTGAAGTTAAACGTTAGACTTAGATAGTGTAGTATCCGATATACAGATATTATCTTTGAAATCAGACATATTGCGATGATCAGTATATTCATAAAGATGACTACCAATAATAACTTGATCTTCCAATACCAATATTTAATAGCTTAACCTAGTACAGTTCCCAATTTATCTTATTGCCATATCATACCATTTCTTAGATAATAATTTTCTTTTGGTAACGGCGAATAAAATTAAAAACGATATACTTACGACACAATCCACTCATTCATAACTGTGGTTATTGATTCATTGTTCATTACTTTATGCTGTTATATTTAATTCTATGGCAACACTTTAAATGACAAGCCGGTGGTAATACTATATAACTCGATATATTTATATGCGTTAGTGGTCCTGTCAAGCTGATTTTGGTAGTTTTAATTTGAGAATTATCTAGAAAAATATTCAACATTTTATTTATTATCGTCTAGAAAAGGTTATAAACAAAGAAAATGAAATCACTCAAATATATGATTTCTTGCACTAATTTAATCAGTTTTTTTAATCTCATTATATAAATATAATAATATGAGTTTAATTAAGAAGTCAATTAAAGAAGAATCTTCTAAAGAAAAAAAAATACTAATGCTAAAATCAGCTTTAAAGAACCAATAATCACGCTTAATCCACCGATAATGCACATCCATACTCCATACGCGCATGCATGTAATAACTTAGCTCATAACAAACTAACAGGAGAAACAAGTGGACGAGCAGTCACAAGAGAAAGAAGAGTTGGAGGGAGTCGTGACACGATTGAAGGAAAGGCTGGAGAGAGAGACCGCCGCGCATATGGAGTGTACGGAACGAGCTAGGGCTGCTGCGACACGCGCTCATCATTTAGAACAACAGGTATATTGTGTGGTGTTGTCTGTTGGCGTCGTCTGATTGTTGTCTTTAGCGGTTTTTTTGTTATTAGTCTATTGAGAATTTTTTAAATGATATTAGATTTTATTTAGGCGGATTTTAGTGAAATAGCTTTATACCATAAATAGTAATTTAAATTTTATTTTATAGTAACAGCCATGATATATTTAACAATTGAATTTTGTTTTTGATTATTTTTATAAAGGTAGATCCATATTCAGCTGTGTCTCTTTTAATTTGTCGAAAGCTTCCTCTTCATTAAAATATTATAGCAAGTTATGAAGAAGGGTTCAAATATTTTGAATCTATATGACAAGTAAAAGTTGTGTTTGTCAGATGATTCTTTTTACTCTCACTTGTCTATGTTAGATTTAATGTAATCTATAATTCGATAATTAGTTTTTTATTTTGTAAACCTTTGAATTTTATTAATGCTATTTTCAGTTACGTGCAGCATTACATTGCGTCAATTTACATTACAAAGATATTCCTCTGAATCATGCTTTAAACACATTGTTTTAATTACCAGCCTACATTGACGTTTATTGGTAAATGGTTATGCTTCTTAACAACTCGGGGCAGTTTTATTCTTATCATTTGCCTTCTACAAATCGTGCTAACTATCGTGTTATGTGAGAACTAGAATTTTGTCTGTGATCTCCATTTTTAATCTCTTAGTATTTCTATTTTTTACCTACAAAGTGAGCATGCTCTTTCTGACCATTATTTCTTTATTTTCATTGTTCTTTTTGTATCACTGTAAAGAGTGTTTTTCTATACTAAGACAAATCTTTTATTGTGTTCATTATTTGATGCTAGATTGACATGCGATTTTATTGTTTTTTTTTTAATTTTTTGAAATCTGTGATGATTATAGTATTGTTGTAAAAAACATTTCTGATTTACCATTTATTGTGTAGTTGAACCAGGAGCGTTCAGAGAGAGCGAGGTTTGAGAAACTAGTCAGTGAGGGGAGCATTCCTGACGATGCCAAGGTACGAAACTTAATTATTCTACACGTTGTTATTTTTCTTTTATTATTGAAACATAAATCAAATATAATGTTGTGACCACACTTTCAAAATAGTTATGGATCCACCTTATGATATTAAGTTCTATACCTATTTCACACGTCTTTTCCGTTCATTGCAATTTTTTTTATTCATTTTTTGTCATTTTATAATGCTGTATTGTATGTGCATAGGTGAGCAACCTGAAAAGCGCAGTCATCGAAACATGTTCAGTCCCACCGCCCCCACCTCCTACCGCCTTATGTCCCCCGCCCCTTCCCCCCGCGCCACCAGCCCCCGCCCCACCGCCGGCACCCTTAGCTCCTCTTGCACCGTTAACCACTGCCCCTAAGGCGAAGAAAAACGTGCCAACTCCTGGTAATCTTTTGAAGAGCTTCAACTGGAGTAAGTTACCGGACACGAAACTGCATGGAACTATATGGCAGGAATTGGATGATACCAAGTTGTATAACATGATGGACTTGCACACGATCGACAAGATGTTCTGTGCGTATCAGAAGAATGGAGTTCAGGTTAGTTTTAAAATAGTAGACTAGTAAATGCAAGCAAAATTTAGCCATTATGTTCCATTGTACCTACGTTCGTGGTGTTATAAAAGAATGTAGTATCTATACAAATAAATAAAACTGAAGTGTCTGTTTGTAATGTCAAAATAATAGGTGTTTTTCATGCTTACACGGTTATTTGCACGATGCCTATGTCTAAAACCCAGTTTAAATATTTTTTGTCTGACTGTCTGTCTGTCTTTCTGTCTGGCTGTTTGTTCCGGGTAATCTTCAAAACGGCTAGACCGATTTGATAATATTTTACCACCAAGTGGCTGTCTATATAAGGAGTAACTTAGGCTATTTTTTGTCCCAGAAAACCCTATATAATATATAATTTTGCCTGGTCCGGGAATCGAACTCACTAAGGCAGCGCTTTTCAAATTTCACGCGAACGAAGTCATAGGCACCAGCTAGTATTTAAATAAACCTAAATAGACTTTATGTTTAATACCTCACGATTTCAAAGTGGTGTGTAATGAAATTAACTTTTGGCTGTTAGAGTTATATTGTCATTAGTAAAAACGTATTATAGGAAATGGATGCGTTTCAAGTTATGCCTTGCTAATTTACCAATAAAGTTTTTTTTAATTATTCTCTAAAACTGTATAATTATTAACTACTAAGTTGCGATAAACCTAATTTTGTATTTTCACTGGAAGTGTCCGTGAGACTAAGTATGACATCCAAAGTGTAACTGTGCTTAAAGATTCTCCTGAAATAGGTATTATTATACGAGTACTGCGTAATACTGAACCGAAGATCTCGGTTTGCAAGACGCTTATCGATTCCAAATACGATATATTCATGTAGACAATCACCACTTAACACACGTTTCTACCGCAGAATGAAGGATCGGTAGAAGACCTGAGACAGCTGGGCTCGAAGCCACGCACCAAGATCTTATCGGTGATAGACGGACGCCGCGCCCAGAACTGCACCATTCTGTTATCTAAATTAAAAATGACAGATGAAGAGATTTGCCGGTAAGACAAATTTTGTAACAGTTTTTCAACACCACTTACATTCTAAAATTATATTTAAATTATTCATTATTATTAATTATATATTATTATCAATCTAATGAAATTGTATCCTATTGTATGTATGTATATGACCCCATATCATAGAGATATTTAATTCTTGATATTATTACGTACTTATTAAATATGTTGTGAGGTAACGTGTGTTATGTCCCTCTGGCATCTGTAATCTTTAGACCTGAAGGTTCATTCTTGTAATAAAAATTTGTTCAAAATTCTGTTCCGAGCTACTCTCGATCTCACAAATGTCGTAAAAAGTATTCTCGTAGTATTCATCAACAGCCTTTAATAGTCCACTGCTGGATATAAGCCTCTCCTTAGAAAGGTTTTGGCCTAAAAAAGTATTCTCGTAGTATTAAATAACCAAATTGCCCTTAGGGCTATATGATCGTGTCCTCGTTAAAATATACATATATGTACGAGTACATATACTAATCGGCTCCAGAACTTTCGTTGTGCCATATGGGTGTAGTTGTTTGGTTTTTATCCACTACATGGCACTGACTATGTTTTTGTATGTGGGTGTTGCCAGAAATGTATTTTAAACTGTTGGTATTCTTTTTCAGTGCAATCCTCCGCATGGATAGTGGAGAACAGTTACCCATCGACATGGTGGAACAGCTGGTGAAGTTCACGCCGAGCGCTGAGGAGGCCGCGCTACTAGAAGAGCATCAGGACGAGCTGGACAGTATGGCGAGAGCTGACCGATTCCTATACGAAATTTCTAAGTAAGTATCATATTAACATTTCGTTACTTCGAAGCGAGGATTTTTTAGTATTCAAGTCTCTAACTTAGGAAGGTTTAGCACTGAGTTTTGCCCATACAATACATTTTACACACTTTTATGAGACTCGTTGTGTATATTCTTAACCTACACGTCAGGTTTTTTATTTTGTTTTATTGTCGCGATATAATTTATAAGTTACAATATCTTGTTGCCCCTTCCCAGGTCATTGTAAGGGTTTTTCGTAAATATACTTTAAGCTTTTCTTGTCAATTACAATAGTCTCGCCTCGTTATTTTCAGATTTTTTAAAATCATATCGGTCCCACAAAGGTCCCTTGTGGCATACTTTTACATTATTAGAACGAAGAAACTCGCGATCGAATTGTGTATTCGGTTAATGCGTTAAAGTTAGTCATAGGCTTAAAATAATTAATTGATGAAGTTCTTAAGCATCTTAATAATGAAACACCTACTTAACTGTACTGTAATACAAAACAGTCTAAAGCTTCAACAAAATTGAAACTTGTAAAGTACATAGTTATATCCTATATGTATGCCTTCTTTTTCTTAAAATCAGATTCTTAATTGCTTTTATTACTTTTAAGCGTCACCTTGCAAATAACGATAGTCTTTTTGTCTGGATTTTTGGGATTCGAGGTTAGTAGAAAAAACACATCGTGCAATACTACTACGCTATAAACGGGTACTAGTATTTCCATGTGATTACGTGGTATCTCGAGGCCCGAGCGTTCATTTTATTTAGTTTCTGACGCGAGTTAGAGTCGCTATAAGTGATAACGGTTTCGTTCAGGATCCCCCACTACGCGGAGCGCGTCCGCACGCTGCTGTTCAAGAAGAAGTTCAGCGTGGCCGCCAACGAGGCGCAGGGCCGCGCCGCGCTCGTGCTGCGCGCCGCGCGCGACATGACGCGCTCGCGCCGCCTGCGCGCGCTGCTCGAGGTCGTGCTCGCGCTCGGCAACTACATGAACAGGTAACACTCGCATCTCTATACCTCGCCCTATACCTTCCATCATACCTGTCTAATATCCAAAAACATCGTTTCGCAGAGGTGCCCGCGGCAATGCATCCGGATTCCGTCTATCTTCGCTGAACAAGTTGGCGGACACGAAATCTTCCGTGTCTCGGAACACTACACTGTTGCACTACCTGGTTGAGATGCTGGAGACGCAGGTAACTGTCACTTTCGTGTTGTTATTGATGCAGGTCTCTCTCTCTCGCAGAATCCAGGGCAAAACGTAGGACCCCCTTTTTTGCGAATCCTGAACGGCTTTCGCTGTCGCAAGCATCATGAAAAGTTGTTACGGAGAATGTACTATAGAAACGGTAAAATGACCAGTGTAGTACTTGATATAATAGTTATTCGCCGAATATAATAAATATAGCAGATTGAATAAAACCAAATATTGAAAAGTGAAAGTAGTGGTAGCAGTAGTAGGAGCACGCTTAAAATGAAATTACTTAACAAATTATTATAAAATCACATCTTAAACCTTTTTTACACGCAGCAAACCAATAATACGAATGTAAGTGAATACTACCGAACGACCCGATTGAACATTGATCATCAACATTTGTAATCATTCTCAACTTTTACTCTTCATCATCTGTCATTTTATGTGTATGTGTGAGAATAGTTTGCCAGAAGCCAATTATTTTAATACTGTTAATTGATGTACATTAGTTATTTATTTATCTATCGTTGCATCAACTTCTTTCTTTTAATTCAAATAATGTTCGTTGTAAAAAAATTTGAGCTACAAATAAAATCGCATTTAGAATCGTTAAAACTGCCTGAACTTCATAAACATCATCATCACCAGCATTGTCTTCGTTACCATGTGTGTGTAGTGTTTTAAAAACTTATTGTATGACCGTTTCTTTTCTCATCAGTCACCTCTCCTAATTTTGTGATATTGTTTCAAGATTTCTCTGTCGCCCAATATTTAACAAATACTTATAATATTTACTTTACAGTTCAAAGACATCCTTTTACTTGAAGAAGATTTACCTCACGTACGGGCAGCAGCCAAAGTGTGCGTGGAACAGTTAGAGAAAGACGTCGGATCTCTTCGTACTGGGCTCAGGGAAGTGGCTAGAGAACTCGAGTACCATGCGGCACTCCCTAACAGATCACCCAATGACATGTTCCTGCCAGTGATGAGGGACTTCCACGCTCATGCTGTCTGTACCTTTACTCAGTTGGAGGATCTGTTCCAGGTTCGTGCTTATCCTATATAAAATGTAGTTAATAATGTTATAAGGCACTTAAAGTACTTCTGGAGAGAGACAAAAAACAGTTGTTGAGTGGGCTGTGAATTGGTTATTTATGTAGAAAACATGAAAACAACTCTTATGGTTATATAAATATAGTTCATATTTTAGAAACTTACATAAACTAACTGTTTCATTTTCACCTCAAGCGAGGGAATCCCTAAGGTTTCGATTTGTTTATTGTTGATTTCATTAATGTTTCTGTTTATTGTGACCGTTATATAGACTACTAAGTATTCAGATTCGGAATCTCATAGTTTCTTAAATTCCAACATACAGGTTGCCGAAGTAAGGCAAAGATTTAACATCCATGTCAATACTGGTTTTACCTATGGAATACATGTTTGTGCCAGGATATGAAGAGTCGACTCGAAGCGTGTGCGCATGCATTTGGCGAAGAAGCATCCGCGTCTCCAGAACAATTGTTCGGTGCGCTGGACGCGTTCCTGGCGCAACTGCACGACGCTCGCGCCGACTGCGACGCCGCCCGCCGCCGTCGGGACGACGAGGAGCGCCGAACACGACACGAACAGGAGGTCAGTTTCTACAGTTACAAGACTAGTTGCATCTTCTTAGTCTTCAGATAGTTAAATCAACGTGTGACCAGAGATATAACATTGTGTAAACGTTTTCGATTGATTCACACTAAAATTAGCATTTTTTCCTCTTTAGCTTAAAAAACGTACAATGGAAAGAAAACAAGCATCCAGCCTCCTCAGCTCGGTGGGAAAATCTTTGGGCAAAGCGAACGGAGACTGCAACGGCCATTCGGATAGTTCCCGCGATGGAACTTTGACCAACGGACAGAAAGGAGAATTTGATGATCTGATCTCGGCGCTTAGGACTGGAGATGTCTTCGGTGACGATGTAGCTAAGTTTAAGAGGTCACGTAAAGCCGCCAAAGTCAACCATAAAGGGAGAGATTCGCCTCCGAGAGGAGTGTGCAGAGAAGACTCCAGGGAGAGGCAGAAGAATTGAGCGAAAGATTAGTTAGCCAAGGTTATGTTTGTAGCGTCCGGCGACCTTAGTAGTTTTCGATGTCGATGAGTGTATTGCTTCGAAAGAAACTGTATCGTGGTGAATTATGTTCGATATACCTTGTAACCGATTTGGTTTCTTCTTGGCTTTAGAAATTTTGTAGCTTATCAAATTGATTATCTCGGAAGCTGGACTTAAACGATTAGCATAAACTATAAACGTGATATTTATCGAGTAAGAGACTTATTGGTCCAGAGAACGGAGTCACAAATATGAGATTAGAAGTTGAAGTGACAAGTCGCGGGAACCCATATGTAAACAACGAAACGACCGCTGCCATTTTTGGATTAATTTTTTAAAATATTGCAAAATATGGTGCCTAATTTTTGACGTCTTCAAGCCGTGGTTTGGTGACGAATGGACTTGTAATTGGCATATTCGTGAATTTGACAATGTTTGAAATAACAAACAGCGCTAGATACCAAAAAATAAATTTCGAATCTTGGTTCAAGCAACAGTGATCTTAATTTGACAATGTTTTAGTTTTAATAAGTGACTTGTGTATCTAATTCCATCTTTCAGGATTTTCATTTACTCAAAGATATAGAGGAAGCAAATTATGTTTGAAAAAAAGCGTTTTTGTCTTATTAAACTTCCAAATAATCTCAGACTATTAATTTTTTGACACTCAAGTCAGTCCAAATGACACCAATGACATTGACAGTCCCAAATAAAGTGCAATACGAAGAAGATTGATAAGATTTCGTATATTTCCCCGATCACTGTTTCTTGTGACAACAACGAACCATGAAGTTGTTTGTTTATATACCAGTGAGTAAAATGAAACTAAAAATAACCCTAAAAAAAGTACCTAACGACAAATTTTGAGATTCAAAATATAAATGGATACAAAATTTGTTTCAAATCAAGGTCATTCTACCAAAACTACGGTCATAAGGAGTTTTTTGATAATGTATTCGTAACGACTGGTATAGTCAAGACTGTATGTTATTCCATAAATGAGTTATTTTACATTTCAATCTATAAGCATTGTGTGATTTGAGTAACCTTAGGGGTTAGAATGTAATGAGTTTTATACTGAAGTTTTACTTGGTTTTATATAAGCCGAAATTATGTGTATCAACATTTTGTTTCTTAACAAATCCAGTAACTATATCATATGTTTTGTGGATTAATCGTTAACTGAAGTTAATGGAAAATAATTGTGTTATCTTAAGCTCTTCCTAATTAATGTTGATGTATGTAAAGATGGCTGACAGAATGAATATTAATGTTTTAACATATCTCAAACGTATAGACTAATAATCCGATACAAACAAAATGGATTTGTTATGCTGGCAATACAAGTTGGTTCAACGGTCGGCAAAATTGTTACTGTTACTTGCTGATAATCTTCTTTTTTAAAAGAACATAATATATATTATTATTATGTGTTTGTTTTTTTTTTACTAAGAGTTTAGAATAGAATAACGTATCACATCATCTTATAATAAACCTTATTTTTTCAATAAATGGTACAGAATGTTACATTTCAATTGTGTAATGGTTAATTGAACTTCATGTGTCTGGGTAGCACACATGGTGCTACATAGCAGTTGATATCGATGATTGAAAATAATAACGTACGTTTTATCGTCGTTTAAAATAATGTTGGTCCTTCGAGCCGGATTACATATTGTCTTGTTGTTCTCTGTTGAACCAACGCCAATTGCTAGCAGGAATTGACGTAAACACTATCATATTAATAGTAATATTGTTGACTCATACCTACGTGTAGGAATTGATATACCTAGACTACGAGAATTTTGGAATTTTGTATCAATAAATAGTAGAAAATTTTGGATAAATTTTACATTTTATACATCATCATCAAATTTAATTTATTCCCAAATGATTGTAAACCATAATTTTATCTGTAAATATAATTTTTAATTTTGCCAAAATTTGTTACCGTCTGTGTAATGGAGTATATAATTTATTAAAAATCTTCGTACGTAAACGTTTGTCACTTGTAAATTTTATTGTTTTGTTCAGTATTGCTTAAGCTCATAGTATATTAATATAATGATTATATAATAGACACTATTTAAATTAAACCCTTGAACAATATTGGTTATTTTTATTTTTATAACCTAGCTCTTAACGACCACATTGTATATGTATGTAAGTCTAGTCATGCACCTGAACTCGTATACTATAATAAAACAGATTTTTTTTTATTAAAAAGTCTGGAACTGCCGGTTGGATTTAATAGAAACCATATTGGATAAAGGTAGAGTACATTTAGGATAGGTTATGTCCCATCACGCAACGACTAGCGAGCTAGGCAATGACCATAAACGAAAATAAAATTTCTAGGAATGATTAATTAAATATAAGTTCCGACTTATCGTTGACTATAGTCCATTCGCGGCAAGAAAATAGTGACGCGTCGGGAGTAAAGGTGTATTCAGGGTAGAGTAAATTTTTTATCAAATAAAATTTCAACAACAATTCATATTTTCATTGATTTAAGTTTAACTACCTGAATGTAGACGCAAGTACTTGCTATTTTATGACTGCCCTCTCGTCGGTAATATCATTGAAATCACATGGTTTAAAGTACTTAAAAAATATAAATTACTCGCCTTCCTCTGCTACGAATTATTAATAATTATTGATACTATATATTATTGCTTAAAATAAGCAGAATGCTTGTTCTTACGAATACAACGCTTAAAGAACGTAGCCGTTTTGATAAACGTCTCTGCAAACAACTGGTCAATGTCCGTGTGGTGATGTATTAAGAATACAGAGTGTTATAAGAGCCGACTAAGGTAGCAAACTACGCAGGACAATAGCACTGCAAAGAGAAGGAAATCTTGGAACACAAAAACTCTATACCAACCCGTGTGGCCTGTGTGGTATAGTAGGCCAAAACCTCCTTTTTAAGGAGAGGCCTATGACCAGCAGTGGACTATTAAAGGCTGTTGATGATAATGATTGATGAACTGATCGATATGAACTTGACCTTATAATTTTTTTGAACCTTATTAGTCAGGGAGACGGGGCTTGATCAGTGGAAACTCTAAATTAAAAGAGTCTCTTGATGGCAAGCAGTTAAGCTAAGGGCGTAATTGATTATCATAAGAGATCTTTTTGCTTTCGACTTTATATGATGACCCATACGATAGGTTTCTTTGAGTGTAACGACATTTACTCTTTAGTGGCTTAATAGATACTAAATTATTAACAAATTTACAAGTGAATGCATTTTAAATGACATGACGGTTTTCCTGATAATCTTTGTACAAAGAATAGAAGGTACAGGGTTGCGATTAATAATATTTTCTGGCATCAGTGGCATCTGACACACAACGCCATCTAGTTTCAAACTAAGAAAAGCTTGTACTATGATATACTAGATTGACTGATAGAATAATAGAAAAGAAGCTTATCCCAGTCATCCTCCGACAGTTCAAAATTGCTGATTCATAGGCAGCCACCGCTTCTTCGGCACTTGAAAAAAACTTCTTGCACAGCTTTGAAAACTTTTGGCAATGCGATTGTAGTGTACCATTCTAAGTTAGCAGACTTACAATTCTCTAGCATTGATCTAAAAAATCGTGCCACCATTTTTTGCCATACCGAGGAACGCTTCTGGCTTTCCGGCTCATATTGATATAATGTTTTCAGAAACACGTCTTGACCTCCTATTTTCAAAACGTAGACGCATCTCACAGCCCCATTCCACACGGGCTTCTTTTTTTCGTTTTGGAGAGCAAACGAGGTATCCAAGGACAACAAAGCTTTCTGATTCTAAGATGATAGGTGTCATTCTAATATGCCACCTATACCGAACTAATACCTAAGATTTTCTCTATGTCCTGTATGTAATTCGTGGGTCAACTCGAACGAGCATTTCAGAAGTCCACACTTTTTCAGCAGTGACTGCTGATGGTGGACGTTCACTTCTGTCATCATCTTTAAGGCTAGTTGTCCCCTTTTTAATTATTTACACTATCTAAAATTGCCCGCGAAAGAGCAGACTCACCTAAAGCTGATTTTAAACGTTCTAAGCTTTTACCTTTAGATCAACCACATTTCGTAATATATCATAGCAAATGTTCTCGTTTAAGCTCCATTGTAGCGGACAAAAAGACGAAAAACTTGACCATTTGGCCAAAAAAACTTGACCAATTGGTGGCCTTTAGGGGTCAAAACTTGCGTACTGAAGGTCATAGTCGATTGTAATTTTTTCCTGTCTTTTCAATTCCGGGCTCAAAAGTATGCAATCCTATTTGAAAATTGCCCTTGGCCCTTGAGATAACCTTCAAGGTCAATTTCAAGGTCCTATAACTTTTGTGTATAACGTATTTTCGAAAAATGCATCCCTCTAGCGAATTATTGTGCAGTTCCGGTACTTTTCTAACACCTGTGTATATCGCCTCACACAGCTCTTTAGCGCGCAGAAAGACTCGACGGCTCTTTTCCCTTCGGATTTCTTTCTTTGTACTCGGCTAGTAGTTAATCATCATTTATTTTATACATAATAAATATATTTAATGATATTGTTTTCAATTTAACTCTATTAACTTGATATATTCTAATTACATTATTAAAAAACGAAAGGAACTTTGTTCCGACCGGGGTCCATAGACCTCTCACGCCGTTTTTTATTTTTATTCCAATACCTTGAAGATTGAGATTGGATGAGCAAAAAAGATAATGGACGAAAAATATAGTAAGCAATTTAGATCCAAAGATTCTAAACAAGAAAATCGAAACATTAGACAACCGTAATTAATCAGGTCCGACATATTTCCACTTTATTTCTCTCAGTATTACTGCTGAAGCACAACAAGAAATATATATTATGATATTAATACAACTCAAAGGACCTCAATATATAGGAACTTTTGTCTCAGAAATTCCGAACACGCTTCATTGATTACAGATCACGAATTTAGTAAGGTGCTTAGAAAATAATTTTTATGTAA